ACACTGGCGATCAAGCCTACAACCCGGACATGTGCCCTGACTGGGAATTGAACTGTGACTTCCTGGTTCATAGGTCGATGTTCAACCACTGAGCCATGCTGTCCGGGCTCATCTGTCATTTCTATTTCTCAATCTCTTCCAAAGCACACTTATAAGACATCATTAACTTGGGCTTTGATTACAACTTAATTAACCAGTAGGTCTCATAGCTCTATGTCCTCAGTTCGCAAGAAGACTTCCCTTATCTTTGTGTCCTTAAATTGCTTTGTGGGTGGCTATCTCTTTTCTCCATATTAGGAGACCCCCTGAAAAGTGAGACTCTCTACCCCAGCAGTTTGAGTTCCCCTTAGGGGAGAGAGAATGTCTTCATTAATCTTGTAGATCCTTCAAAGGAAGAACTTGTCTTCTATTTTTGTAATCCTGGCCCTATACTAGTTCTGCACACTGTGGGTGCTCAGTAAATGTTGATTGACTGAGTAAACAATAGACTTGGTCCCCTGGAGTGTCATATTCTTTCTTTCCACAGCGAGAAAGTAATAACATTAGGCAGAGCAGGCTGGATCCCTTAATATGATTACCTGGGATTTGTGGGCTGGTGGCTCTTTCCCCCAAGTTTATTGGATACATTCATCTTCACAGAATAGATATTCCTAGAGACCATTAACGCTGCTGGCCACTAATTGTCCTGACCCTGTTAATCACAACTGCAGCTGCCGTCTCCAGCCCGAGACAGCGAGACCCCAACACTGTTGTGGCAGTGAGTTGAACTGAGATAAGTGTACTCTAACCAAGTTCAACTGTTGAGTTTGCTCTGTGCAGTATGTTACTTAAGACATCTTACCATGAGCCAATGTATGACCTTAGCAAGTGTCTTTTTTTAAACCTTTTAAATAATGTAACAACTTGAGATATAATTCACATAGCATACAATTCTCCCCTTTGAAGTGTAAATTCAGTGGTTTTTAGTATATTCACAGGGTTGTGTAACCATCTCCACAATACATTTTAGAACATTGTCTTTATCTTCCAAAGAAACTTCATACCCATTAGCAGTCATTCTCCATTTCCCCCAACCCCCAGCCCTAGGAAAACACTTATCTATTTTGTTTCTATAGAATGTTTGCCTATTCTGGGCATTTCATAAATATGGAATCATACAGTATGTATGTTTTCATGGATGACTTCTTTCACTTAGCATGTTTTCAAGGCTCATCCATTTGTGACATATATCCATACTTCATTCCTTTTTATTGCCAAATAATATCTCATTGTATGGATATACCATTTTTATTTACCCATTCATCAACTGATGAACATGTAGGTTGTTTCCACTTTTAGCAAGTCATTTGTTTCAACTTATTCATTTATAAAATATGAAATACACTCTAAGCAAGTACAGTTGGGTTTAAATAATATAATGCATGATGACTCCTGGAGTCAGAGGTTTGCAATGAGGTCAAGGAACAGAGAACAGAGTCTGTCTAAACTATAAAACACTATATGCATGTAAAGACATTATTTTCATATTTATACTAGTGACCCAGTGCACAGATTCATGCACATTGAAAGGAAATTAATTAGAAAGTGCCCAGTGTAGTGGGACTGGGCAAGACAGGGCCAGACACACCCTGGAGCCAACTTCCTGAGGCCCCTCCCCAGCCGGCCGCCCCTAGGGTCAACGGCATCTGCGGAGTGAGCGGGGATCCCTCCGGCAGGTGGGGTCCCTCAGCCTGGCCTGTGGGGATCAAGCTGAAACCTGCTCTCCAACATCCCCAAGGAGTCCCAGAGTGCGAGGGCACTCTGCAAAGTTGCTGTCATACAGGGTGTGGAATGCAAACATAAGTGCAGTAAACCAGATTCAGGCCGACAGTGCCCCAGCAACAACATAACCCACAGCCAAAGGTGGAATCCTGTGGCCCCACGAGGAATCAGGCTCCCTCCCCTCTGGCGTCACCTGAGAACCACCTCTGCTAAGTCACTGCAGCTTGGCAACGCCTGCATTGAGCGTCTGCCCCCTGGTGGTCAGTGTGCGTCATAGCGACTGGTCAGATGGGTGGAGGGACACTTAGCAGATTAGCCTTTTATATATATAGATGATAACTAAGGGGAGCACTGGGGCCAGTGTGAGTTCTCTGAGCATGTGGTCTATTATTGGGTAACTCAGAGGAATTTGATATCTCTTTGGGCTTGATCTCTATGTTAAGTCTATTTTGCTTTTTTCCTAGGTAATGGACTGTATCACTTAGCCCTAGCCTATCATCTCATTAATATTTGTTGCTAGGAGACCAGTTTAGAGTATGCTTAGCTCAGTGTAATCCTTGCCACTATAGAAAATCACTCGACTCAGGAGACTATTTAAACATTAGGCAGTTTCATTTCATCCTAATTTTTAGCAAGAACAGGGACAAGGGCTGAAGCTACAGGAGTTCTTAGGGGCCGTTCACCAGATATCTTGCCAACTCTCCCTTTTCTGATTTTAGGTTAGCTTTCCTTCACCACTCACACGCACATGTGCCAGGGCAGTGGTTCTCAACCTGTGGGTCGCGACCCCTTTGGCAGTCGAAGGACCCTTTCACAGGGGTCGCCTAAGACCATCCTGCATATCAGATATTTACATTACGATTCATAACAGTAGCAACATTACAGTTATGAAGTAGCAACGAAAATAATTTTATGGTTGGGTCACAACATGAGGAACTGTATTTAAAGGGCCAGAAGGTTGAGAACCACTGTGCCAGGGTGACTTTTTCCCACTGCCCATCAAGTAAGTGTGTTAAGGTAATATAAAAACATTTTAATATTAGACCAAGAGAAAATAAATTAGGAAGGAAAACTTGTTGCTATAGAAGAAATTGTCTTCTACGTAAGTACAAAGATTGTAAAATCTAATCCTATATAATAAAAGGGTAATATGCAAATTGACCCTAAAGGCGGAAAGACCGATCGCTATGTTGCACACTGACCACCAGGGTGCAGATGCTCAACACAGGAGCTGCCCCCTGGTGGCCAGTGCACTTCCACAGGGGGAGCACCGCTCAGCCAGAAGCCGGCTCATGGCTGGCCAGTACAGTGGTGGGCCTAAGCTGTTAGTCGGATATCCCCCTCGGGGTCCCAGACTGCAAGAGGGTGCAGGCTGGGCTGAGGGGACCCCTCCTCCCCCCAAGTGCATGAATTTTCGTGCACTGGGCCTCTAGTTTAGACATAAATACTATTTTGCTCCCATAACATTATATATTTTTTTGGCAGGTACTTTACAGCTATAAAATGTGTGGGTACCAGATACTGTAGAGGAGAAAGGCTGGGATGAGGAGTGGATTATGGAAGATTGTTTCCTTTGACACTAGTAGCTGCCTGGAGTATAATTCCCCTTCAAAGCTTTGGTAAGAGCAGCTGGGGATAACGAACAGTGGTTAAGATGTTTTGTTTTACATCCAGCAAAAAGGAGCATTAACACCTCAACTGGCTTTTTAAGGAAGCCTTTCGAAGGGCTCCTGCTGCTGTTGACAATCACAGTAACCCCCAGGGTGGTGGCAGGGGCAAAGTGGTGGGTAATTCACCAGAAAATGGTATTCAGTGATTTGGATTCTGTGCACGACTGCTCCTCTCCACTCACGTGTTTCATTAAGAGCTGACGAGTACAAAATAAATGGAACTGCAGTTCTTCACTGGAGCTGTCAGGAAGGAAGGGTATCTGCTAGAGAAACGGCATCATTTCCCCATTATGTGTCTATCCTAGAGTTAGTCTTTTTAAAATATATTTTTAATTGATTTTTTAGAGAGAGGAAGAGGGAGAAACATCGATGCCAAATATCGATTGGCTGCCTCCTGCATACCCTCTGCTGGGGATCGAGCCCAAACCTAGGCATGTGCCCTGACCAGGAATTGAACTGGCAACCTTTCAGTGCACGGACAATGTTCAACCAACTGAGCCACACTGGCCAGAGCTCTAGGATTAATCTTAATGTCACATCTGATTCTAGGAAGGGAGAGGGAGAGATAGAGACATCAATGATGAGAGAGAATTATTGATTGGCTGCCTCCTGCACGCCCCCCATGGGGGATTGACCCACAACCCAGGCATGTGCCCTGACTGGGAATTGAACTGTGACCTCCTGGTTCATAGGTCGATGCTCAACTGCTGAGCCACATCTGATTCTTAAAGGGCAAAAGGCTTATGAGTCCAGGAGACATTTTACTGAAACGATGATCCAGAAGAAGTGGTAGTATAGTTCCATCTTCATTTTATCAACGGAGAAATAAAGGCAAAGAGCCGTGACTGGGGCAATATAGTTCGTCTAAAGCATAGCTCCAATCAGGATAAAAACAGAAGGAATGCAGCTATAGTTAGTTCAACCTTATCCAGGAAATCATGTTTCACACTATTCAAAACTTCTTGCAAAAGTCTCTATAGTGACCTGCTGGTTGACTACCTGGGAGTCATTTTTACTTGTTCAGTGCCTAGGGGGAGAGAAAATGAAACTTTTTTTTTTTTTAGTATTTTTATTGATTTCAGAGAGGAAGGGAGAGATAGAAACACCAATGATGAGAATCATGGATCAGCTGCCTCCTGCATGCCCCCTACTGGGGATCCATTCCACAACCTGGGCATGAGCTGTGACAGGGGATTGAACCCAGGATCCTTACGTCCGTAGGTTGACGCTCTATCCACTGAGCCAAACCGGCCAGGGCATGGAACTACTTTCTTATAGTTCAATTAGTCTGGATGGAGGAAAGTGAACTTAGTTCACACAAGTACCAAATTCCACACTGCCCCCTTTCAAAAAAATGCATGAAAAGTTAGAGCAAGAAATCAGGGTTCTAGATTTGTCAAACTAAGGTAATGTTTCACTTCCTTCCACCTCAAAATAACTGCCAGGAAACTCTTCTGTTGACTAGTTAAGACAGGCGAAGAGAAATTATTGGTGAGGTCCATAATTCCCACAATTCTTTTGATTATGCTTTTCCCATAAGCTTAAAAATAAAACACTATAAACTCAAGGTTTAAATTGCCAAAGTTCCTGAAAAAGAGGACTAGTTTATTTTTAGTATTAAAGAGGTTAACATTAGTTCTCATTATTCTGACTTATCCATAATGAAAGTCACCGGCTTAGAAAGTTGCAAACCCATACAGTTTCTAACAACTCCCACTAACTGTTAAGGACTCACAACAATAAATGTTATGTGCGTAGGAAAGATCAAAGAGTAGAAAATGCCAATCAGAGGTATCCAGAGAGAAAGAAGGTTTTCTGTGACTGAAATAGTATTTCATGTCCACGGTTCCGGAATAAGGCGCTTCTATTAGGAGCTGAGAAATCAAGATGAGAAACCTTTGGTATCCCAGCGGGATGCCTGAGTTCTCTGCCAGGCCATTTTTGGCCAGCCTAATGCAATTGGTTGGAGAAAGAGGCCTGAAGAAGAGCAGGAAGAAATGCTCAACTTCTCATCCATCTCCAGCCCCAAGGATAGGACTGAAGACTGAGTACAAATATACTCAAGGCTTGACCTTGAATGGCTGTGGGACAACTTGGAAAACGAACCACTTTGTATTTGAGTCAAACCTGTTCTGAATAGCCAGGTTGCTTCTATTCCAGGGCCCTTGTACTGGAGATCCTTGGAAAAATGGGCATCATAGGTGAGAGGCTGACATAGCTAGCGTTCTGTGATTTAAAAGGTCATAACCCACACAGATGGAAGTAACAGCCCTTAACACTATCCTGTAGATTATCGACATGATTCTACCTTTAGGGCAGCAGGACTGAGTAAATCCTTAATAATTTCAGGTTAGGCAGGATCTTGTGTCATAACTCATAGTAGAAGCGATAGGTTCTACTCTATAAAATCTATGTACAGTATAGATCCAGGAGGCTGGGTCACTTAGAGAGTGTGGCAGAACACATGGTCTTCAAAGATTTGCTTTTCGTGTGCTGAGAAGCTCTTGTCACAAATCGGACAATCCAAAGACAGGGTCTCCATGGGCTGCTGCTGCGAGATGTGATCAAAAACGTCATCGGCAAGGTTCGAGTTGCAGGTGGGACATTTCTTGATGGTGCGCTGGGAGGAAGAACAAAGAGGTCAGTAAAAGTGTAGGCTGTATGTGGCGGAGGCCACGTCTATCTTATTTTCCACTCTATCCTCAGCATCTGGCGTAATGCTTGGCACATGGTAGGTGCTCAAGTTCACGTTTGGAGAGGCTCCCTGGGGCTTTCTCTAACCCCAGGGTTGGAAGGCCCTAACGTTGCTGAAGCAGTCAAATAGCTTCCGGCCGGAAGGGGCCCGGGACATACCTTGTTTGGCCAGCTGCCTACTTCACACCTCCTTCCTGATCTTGTACTAAACCCAGCTCACAATGGAGACCTTGAGCCGGGTGTTGGATAAACTGTGCCTCCTTCTCCCACCTCCACAGGCTGCAGCTGACTTCAGGAGTTATCAACATGACCCAGGTTCCCTGTGGTTCTCCCATGAACTGGAGCAGAAAGGGGCATTTTCTCAAGGATTGGATGTGGTCAATCTCATGATTCAAAATACTTACCAGGCTGGGGGCAGAACTTTCTTGGATGCCTGAGGGTCATAAAAAAGATTTCATTCAATGAGAAAATATCACTCCCAGATCTCTACATACGTTCTAGCAGTTGTTTTTTGTAACCCCCTTATTTCCCTTTCTCCCCACTGCCTCTGACTGTCTATCTCCTTTATAAACCATTTACTTCTGATAGAGGTCAATAGGGGGGGAAAATGAAAAAATAATGAAGAGGCCATGTATGTTACATAATCAGAAAAAACCCCATCTAGTTTCAGTGGGTGGAAAATGAGATTTTTATAAAAACAGTAACAATTTAACAAGGAACAGTCTGAGAATAGATTTTAAGACTGAATCCATGTAGATGTTTTTCAAATAAAGTACTTACAAATGTTTAAAAGGAAAATTTTTTTAAAAAAATATATTTTATTGATTTTTTACAGAGAGGAAGGGAGAGAGAGAGAGAGTTAGAAACATCGATGAGAGAGAAACATCGATCAGCCGCCTCCTGCACATCTCCTACTGGGGATGTGCCCGCAACCCAGGTACATGCCCTTGACCGGAATCGAACCTGGGACCTTTCAGTCCGCAAGCCGATGCTCTATTAAAAGGAAAAATTAACGCGTACCCCTGCCTGTTGCAAAGATCTGATTGTGACTCTTGAGAACCTGACCACTTTAAACTGTCCAGAAAATGAGGTCTCGGGTCACTTTTGAAGACAAGAGAGGGACGTTCCCTGTTTGGTAAGGACACCTGACCCCTGGTCCATGAGAGACAAGAGTGGCTGTCACCCCCACTTCCTGTCATCCACACCCCCAGGGGTCTCTGTGGAGCACACGCCTGCTGCCCTTGGTCAGGCCATCGGGTGGCTGATGTAATGCTCGTTTCTGGGTGGCACTGCCCGCCTCTTGTGCTTTCATTTCCAAATCTTAATTAGGCTCCTCAGCTCTGTATGTGTATATCTGCTACACAGAGACAGGTCCCCGATTTATGTGTTGGGAATATAGCCACGGGACTCAATTTGTGTCTGCTGCTTCTAGGCGAGTGATCTGATTTGTGTCTTCTAGATTCAGATTTATTTCTCAATTAACACCTCTCGCCTGGCAATCTTTCTACTGGGTCCTCAGCTTCTGCCCAGCAAGTCTTAACAATGAGACTGGACTTCATTAGCATCTCAGACACACAAAAACCGAGTGGGGGGAAGGGATGGCGGCAGGGGTCTCTCAGCCCCCATGGCAAAGCTGTCTTACCAAAATATGGGTTTCCAAAGACAAGTCCTGGGTGTTGTCCGGCACCTCCTTGATCTGAAGTAGGCGCTTGAAATGGCAGAGAGTCACACTCCAGACCCATGTAACTCATCAATCTGAGGTTATCCCTCTTCAAAAGCTAAGGATAGAAGATTTAGAGCAACATGTTGAAAGACAACAACAAAGAATGGCCTCAACGAACTGGCAAAAGGGTGCCCATTGCAGGTAGTTCTTAACAAACAATGTGGTACTGAAGAGCCGTGGGAATGATAAACCAGATTCTTGAGAAGGGGAGGAAGCAGCCTCCGGGGCTCTGAAGATCTGAATTAAGATCTGAATCTAAAAGCATACCAAATTGTGTTTAGATTAACGTAAAAAAGAATTTAAAATCTCTAAACACATACATACTGAAGGAGGCACAAAAGTTGTATGGATATATGAGGCTGGCAGGAGCTATGTTAAGACTGAAATTGTTATACTTTGAGAGCAAAATGCTTCTTTTTAGTCTCCTTTCTAGAACAATTTTCTTACACAATGTAAATATTAATCTGATATATTTTTCCCTTCTTTATGTTTTATCCCATCCAATGGATATCCCAACCAAGAGAGTGAGAGGGAAGAAGGTAAGAGGGAGGGAAGGGATGAGAGAGAAAGAAAGAGAATAAGGTACAAGGGGGACAGAGAGCATTGGAAGTTCTTTAAAAAGAAAATTAGTAAACTGCTCCATAACATCTCAAGAGGACTTTACTACAGCTCTTAACAAAGCTTCCAAATATCTGGCCTTTTCCTTCTTGTGCTAAATTGTGTGCACACTCCCTCCCTACCCCCGCCTGGTCCCATTGGACTATTCCAGGAAAACAAGGATTTCAAAGTCACAGTGTATCTGTCTAAATGAAGAGGTTGAGAATGACAGGGCCAGAAATAGACCCCAAAGGGCTTTTACAATACGGAAACACCCTGGAATAAATAGTAAAATCAAAAGTAGAAATAACTGCTTGGAGGCATAGCCCAGAAGGGTCACAGAGGGTAGAGGTCGGGAACTGCTGGAGGTGTAGACCTAGAGGGAGTGGCCAGAACGCATGGACACCCACTCCTCGATGCTAGTCAGGGCATGAGAATGGCTTCAAGTGCAACCACTTCATTTGCTGTGATCATCCTCAATCAATCAATCAATCACTCAATCAATAATAACTTGTGTTTAACACACAGCAGAAAATACCGGTTGGATGAATGAATGAACGGATGAAGGGATGAATGAATGCAGTGTTTATTAGGAGCCTACCATGGGTGCAGGACTGGTACAGACCACCACTTCTGCTCCTGGTTTGGCAGCAGAGAAAAAAAGAAAAAGTTGTGCTGAAGGAAAGGGGTTCCTCACTAGCATAAAAGTGACACAGGGTATTACTCTCCAAAGACGACACTTACAATCACGCTGAAGATAAAACCAAAAGTACTAAGTCAGATCATCGTCAAAGCTGTTTCTTTCAGGTTGACTGCTGCCATGCCAAACAAGTTTGTTATAGAACAGAGAGAGGACTTTGTGGTAGATCAGGAAACCAGATTAAATTTACTTTGTTTAGGAGCATGTGCCTCCCTCACTGTTCCAGAATGGGCTCTTTTATTTAACTTATTTATATTTATTTTTCATTTATATACTAGAGGCCTGGTGCACGAAAATTCGTGCACTGCGGGGGGGGGGGTGTCCCCTCAACCCAGCCTGCCCCCTCTCACAGTCGGAGAGCCCTCAGGGGATGTCCTACTGACAGCTTAGGCCCGCTCCCCGTAAGCCGCAATTTGGTCTCCCTCTGCAGAAGGTGACTGGCCAATCAGGGGAAGGCGACGCCCCCATCACGCCTCTGCTGCTGCCAGTGCTGGCCGCCGCAGCTGCCTGAGCCTTGGCCCGGCCCTCATTGCCTGAGCCTTGGGCCCCCACAGCGGCAGTCGTGCCATCCGAGGCTTGCCTGAGCCTCAGGCAGCCACTGTGGCTTTGTCCGGAAGGACGTCCGGAAGATGTCTGCTCTAAATAGCATATTACCCTTTTATTAGTATAGATATATATTATTATTTATATTTATATTTATTTTTTAATCTTCACCTGAGGATATATTTTCCTCCCCCATTGATTTTTTTAGAGAGTGGAAGGGGTAGGGGAAAGAAAGAGAGAGAAAAAGAGAGAGAGAGAAAGAAAGAGAGGGAGGGATCAACATAAGAGACACATCTATTGGTTGCTTCCTGTCCGAGCCTGGGATTGACTGGGAATCGAACCCACAATCCTCGGGTCCCCAGGCTGATGGGCAACCAGCAGGGCTATTTAACTTTTTATTTTATTACCATACCTCTGGTTCACCCTGCTCCTTCCCCTTAAAATCTTGGAGTTTTCTACCCTCATTTACATACTCACATCATTTTCTCCTTCCAATCTCTCTTTCTCTCTCTGCAGAACAGTACATATCATCTTGTTCTCACTCAGCCTTTTTGACAGGTCAAAGTTCTCGTCCTGTCAATAATTAAAAAAAAATTAGGATTAGGATCATATATGATAATCTGGATCCACGGTGGGGTAAAACAAGATCACAGAGGTTCTAGCTTTACAAAGTGTTGGGACTGAGGTGGGGGAGGGTGGAGTAGGGAGGAGTGGTACTATAGAGCAGATCTAACTAATAGAAAAGTGACTTAAAATGCCCGAAGGCCTGGGCGAGCATCCAGGTGCCAGTTTCTTCTGGTTTATAAGTGACCAAAGAGAGAAACAGTTTGGGGAAAACCTCAATACTGACTTATCAGAGTTAGGGATAAATGGAGCCTTGTCTAACCCCACCCAACAATGGAAGCAATCCTCTTTGTCTTGAATAAACATCTCAGTCAATGCAGCCCGAAGCTTTTAGGGCTAGGTTGGCATGACTCCCTCCCATGTGAAAACAGGCATCTGGACTCAGGTTACAGCGAGGAAGAAAGAATCTGAGCAGGAATTTATTCAAGGCCACCAGGAACCCACACTGGGATGCTGGGCTTGATGTTGACTTGACTAGTTTCATGAATCCCAAACTCCTCGGCATGCTTCAGAGCTTTCCACCTCCTACCTACACGCATCCACATTCCCAAACCTCACAAAAACACTTAAGCTAATCCTACTAATTGTGGAGTTTTTTCCTAAGATTTTTTATGTGAATGCTGATGCTCAAACTGCTGTGCGCTTCTAGCCAACCCTGAGGTAGTAACACTAGGGGGCTACCCGGTGACACTGCTGACTGCGGGCCCCTGGCTTCCCATCGCCATTGGCTCCTGCTGGCTCTTCCAGTCCTGCTTCACTTCCTCAAAGAGCAGACATAAGGAAGGGCTCTCTGAATCTGCTCAGAAATCTGCTCGATGGTTACAAAAATCCCCCCTGAGGCCCATGGTTGAGCTGGGGCCTGTATTTCCAGGGATTCCCAGGCTGGTTTCTGGCCACACACTCCATCCCTCCTCTCTTTAGCAGAAAGATAAATTTCTCTCCTTAACAAGGGTCTACAACCCTCTGGGCCTGTCTAAGAACCACAAACATTCGCACCCCTTGCTTCCTGGGCCCCTTGTCTCTGTCACCTACCAGTGCAGCAGCCCTGAGCTGCCTGATCTGTTTGTGGAGTCATTGACTCTCTTTGTACTTCTCTAAGAAACAGGCTTTCCTGGCCTCTACCTTTGCCCTTAGCCAAGTCCATCTCTTGTACTAACTGCTCTTCCACTGTTTTTTTCTTGTTCCTAGGCCCCTGGAGTATAAGAGACAGAGTCCTAATAGGTAGGGGCCTTTTGGAAGCTTTAGGAATAAAGAATTGGTATCAGCCGGGGAGCCCCTGGATATTGCAAAATATTCCATGAAAACTGAGAAAACCCATAGCTGTCACAAGAAGGTTCAAATCTTTGGATGGCTCTAGATTATTTAAAACAGTAATTTATTTGCTACATTAGAGGTCACAAACCCAAATATGTAATATAACTGAACGAAGGAGTTGAATGCAATGAAACAGTGAAGAGAGCAGACAAATGGAGAACACATGATCTATCTACTAGTAAAGGGTGCAGCAGCTACTCAGCTGCAGATATGGACTCAATGTGTCCAGATCCTCTAATTTTTCAATGGAAGCTGAAATACAATTTTTAATGGGAAAGATTCCCATTTTTAAGTATTAGTAACTAACTCAATTAAAAAAATACCATCTGGGCCAAATAAAACATTTCAGTTAGCTAAACTTAACCTATGAACTGGTGATTTACAAACTTTGTTCTACTCTTTGTTAGGCTAAAATATGCAGTATCTTATATAGTAGTAGGTACTCAATAACTGATTGGATAATGACTCACTGACTGAATGAATGATACATATATAATGAGTTATAATCCCAGTAGTTGGATAGGCTCCAGACATCAGGATTTCTCATGTTCTTACATCAATTCAGAAAATGGGGCTCCTAGGCACCTGTCATCATCATGAGGCCTCTTTTCCAATAATATATTATAGAAAATTATTAGTCAATTAGGCTAGCATTACCATTTTACTATAGCTCAGAATAATTTATAATGACGACAACTGACAATATTATATCAATTGTAAGGAAATTTTTGACTGCTGTAATATTTTCCAATCATAGAGCTCAACTTTATAATCATTTGCCTGCCTGCACAATAGCTCTTTAAGAAGGGAATTCCTGCCCGGCTGGCATGGCTCAGTGGTTGAGCGTTGACCTATGAACCAGGAGGTCACTTTTCAATTCGCAGTCAAGGCACAAGTCCAGGTTGGTGGACTGGATCCCCAGTGCGGGGTGTGCAGGAGGCAGCCAATTCAATGATTCTCTCTCATCATTGATGTTTCTAACACTCTCTACCTCTCCCTTCCTCTCTGAAATCAATAAAAATATATTTTAAAAAAGAAAAGAAGGGAATTCCTAGCCCAAGGCTCTATTTACTACAACCTGTCATAAAGTTTACCTTCCAATATTCTTTTATCACTCATCACACATTAAAATACCTACCTCTCCTAAAAATTTTGTACATAGCAAATTCTCTATCCTTCTGGGTAGAATGCAACATGTCCAGAGGTAAATGCTATTTTCCTCTTTGCTTATTTATCCTGTCCATCACCTGAGTGTAGACCCTATCCCTTCCTTTTTGTAGGCTCCCTCCCATGTAGCCATTCAAAGATAGACATGCCGTTAACTCCTGCTGTTTCTTCGTTGCAATAGCTTCTTGTTTCTTCAGCTCCTCCACTGTCTTCTCTAGCTTCTGCTGGTGCTTCCGATTTCAGGACCACTGTTAGAAACACATGCGCACACACACACACACACACACACACACGCACGCACGCACGCACTGGGGAAGGGCCTGCCCAGCTAATGAGCAAGCAGGATGCAGAGAAAGAAGCAAGCCTTCCCTTATTAGTTTCTGAGAACAGCCATGAGATACCTCTTTCAGATGGCTTCCTCTGAGACCTCCCCCAGAGCCAGTGATATCCAGGTATATGATAAAGAAAGAACAATGTATATATTTTCTCCTCAATGACAAAAAAATTATATATTTTCCCAAGACTCTACCTGTTCCTTTAAATTGAGAAAGAGCTGGCCATTTTCCTTTTTCAGACATTCCAACTGCTCTGTCTTATCTAGAGCTTCCTGAACAAGCTTCTCCATTTCTTCCTCTTGAGTTGACAGCTGTGCCTAAAGCAAAAGTAGTAAATACAACAGATATAAAGAAGGAAAGCTAACCAGGAACAATGCTTTTCAATGTGCATAAATTAAAGAAATGTGTGTTCCTCCCGGCTGGTGTGGCTCAGTGGCTGAGCGTTGACCTATGAACCAGGAGGTCACTTTTCAATTCCCAGTCAGGGCACAAGCCCAGGTTGGCGGACTTGATCCCCAGTGTGGGGTGTGCAGGAGGCAGCCATTCAATGATTCTCTCTCATCATTGATGTTTCTATCGCTCTCTACTTCTCCCTTCCTCTCTGAAATCAATAAAAATATATTTTAAAAAAGAAGGGAATTCCTAGCCCAAGGCTCTATTTACTACAACCTGTCATAAAGTTTACCTTCCAATATTCTTTTATCACTCATCACACATTAAAATACCTACCTCTCCTAAACATTTTGTACATAGCAAATTCTCTATCCTTCTGGGTAGAATGCAACATGTCCAGAGGTAAGTGCTATTCTCCTCTTTGCTTATTTATCCTGTCCATCACCTGAGTGTAGACCCCATCCCTTCCTTTTTGTAGGCTCCCTCCCATGTAGCCATTCAGAGATAGACATGCCGTTAACTCCTGCTCTTTCTTCGTTGCAATAGCTTCTTGTTGCTTCAGCTCCTCCACTGTCTTCTCTAGCTTCTGCTGGTGCTTCCTCTGCACAAAAACAGATTTCAGGACCACTGTTAGAAAAACACACACACACACATACGCACGCACGCACGCACTGGGGAAGGACCTGCCCAGCTAATGAGCAAGCAGGATGCAGAGAAAGAAGCAAGCCTTCTCTTATTAGTTTCTGAGAACAGCCATGAGATACCTCTTTCAGATGGCTTCCTCTGAGACCTCCCCCAGAGCCAGTGATATCCAGGTATATGATTAAGAAAGAACAATGGATATATTTTCTCCTCAATGACAAAAAATTATATATTTTCCCAAGACTCTACCTGTTCCTTTAAATTGAGAAAGTTTTCCTTTTTCAGACATTCCAACTGCTCTGTCTTATCTTGAGCTTCCTGAACAAGCTTCTCCATTTCTTTCTCTTGAGTTGACAGCTGTGCCTAAAGCAAAAGTAGTAAATACAACAAAGATATAAAGAAGGAAAGCTAACCAGAAACAATGCTTTTTAATGTGCAAAACATAAAGAAATGTGTGTTCCTCCCGGCCGGTGTGGCTCAGTGGCTGAGCGCTGGGCAAAGGTTTGCCGTGGCCTACCTGAAGCTGATCCACTCTGACTCCCATCTTCTCATTCTCTGAGGACAGCTTCTGGTTTTGTTCTTTCAGTCTGCGGAGGTGGAGATGACTATGTGAAATATATGCTGGTGCCTGCTGGCTCCCCCAGGCCTTACATGATTTAAGGCTGCGTTGGCCCTAAGCCTCCAGATTTATTTTAAAATCCATTAGTCTCTTCTTCAGTCCTGTTTTGCCTTCCTGACCTCAAAGTGCAGGTATTCGATACTTCACGTTAATACGTGAATTTAGGTCGTTTCTCCTTACCATTCTGACACAAAGTTCTCTAACCTGGAACCAAAGAGATTATGACTCAAAGGGGAGAACCACACCCTCAGTGTCATAATAGGAAGACTGTAGTCTAACAAATTCTGGAAATCTAATCTGACCCCCCTAAGGGTGCCTATCCGACGGCAGTTCCTCGCATGCAAGGTCACACTCACTGTAGCAGCTCTGTCTCCCAAATGTCCTTCTGCTCTTCCACCTTCTGTCCCAGCTTCTTGTTGATGGTCTTTAAGGTTTCTAGCTCCTCCTACAGAGTGAAATGTCAAAGGCACAAACCATTTCTAAGACAGTTTTAATATCTCAGGCAGCCAACAAATATTTATTGAGCACGTATTACATGTCAGACATAGCATGGCATAACAGTGAATAAAATATCCGAGTAAAGGGGTTTCTCATATTCAAATATTCCTAATATGTTCTTTCCACATTAAAAATGTATCTACCTTAATTTCTCTTCCACTGGAGCATATATTTGCCCATTAATTCATTAAACAAATATTTAATAAGCGCCTACTGCACACCAGACACTGTCTGGCATTGCAGACACAGCAGTGGATAAAATAATGTTACTTTTCTCCTAGAAATGCACTGTTCAATAAATTCAGAAAGCCACACATGTAATTAAAAAGTGTTAGTAGCCACATTAAAAAGAGTAAAAAGAAACATGAAATTAATTTAACCACTAGTAAATTTAACCCAATATATCTAAAATACTGTTTTAATGTGTAAACAAGAAAAGGAATTTTACACTTTTTTCAGACAACGTCTTCAAAATCCGGAATATATTTTAGGCTTACAGCAAATCACAACCTGCCACACTTCACATGGGGCTAGTGGCCACCATATTTGTCCTAAACATTTTTTTTTCTCCCAATGCCTTCTGAACTGAATCAATTCTTGTGTATAAATAACAACTATTTGTTTTTAGCTCTAAGGTGGGAAACGTTTTAGTTTATAGCAGTGGTTCTCAACCTGTGGGTCTCGACCCCTTTGGCGGTCGAATGACCCTTTCACAGGGGTCGCCTAAGACCATCCTGCATATCAGATATTTACATTACGATTCATAACAGTAGCAACATTACAGTTATGAAGTAGCAACAAAAATAATTTTATGGTTGGGTCACAACATGAGGAACTGTATTTAAAGGGCCAGAAGGTTGAGAACCACTGGTTTATAGACTTCTAAAAAGTCATTTTTTTTTCCTGTTTAACAAATTGTAGTTAAGCCCTAGCCGGTTTGGCTCAGTGGATAGAGCGTTGGCCTGCAGACTGAAGGGTCCTGGGGTCCTATTCTGGTCAAGGGCACATGCCCAGGTTGTGGGCTTGATCCCCAGGAGGCAGCCAATCAACGATTCTCTCTCATTATTGATGTTTCTATCTCTCTCTACTTCTCTCTTCCTCTCTGAAATAAATAAAAATATATTTTAAAAAATTGTAGTAAAATATACATAGCATAAAACTTACTATCTTAACCATTTTGAGCACACAGTCCAGTGACATTAAGAACATCCACGCTGTTGTGCAACTATCACTCCATCCACCCACAGGACTCTTTTCATCTTGCAGAACTGAAGCTCTGAACCCATTAAACACTAACTCCCCCTTTCTCCCTCCCCCAGCTCCTGGCAACCACCATTCTACTTTCTGTCTCTATGACGCCGACTACTCTAGGTACCTCATATAAGTGGAATCATATGGTATCCATCTCTCTGTGTCTGACCCACTTTTCCCAGCATAATGTCCTCAAGGATCATCCACGTTGCAGTATGTATCAGAATTTCCTTTCCTTTTAAAGCTGGACAACATTCCATTGTATGTACATGTCACGACACGTCTCATCTAGCCATCTAGCTGTCACTGGATACCTGGGCTGCTTTTACCCTTTGGCCATTGCAAAAAATGCTGTTATGGACATGGGTACTAGCATCTCTGTGAAAAAACAGGGAGGGAAACTGAGGCTCATCAGAGATGTTAAGAAATTTCTTCTGGCTCATCAAACAATAAATGGGAGAACCAGCCTGTTGACTCCAAAGACAAGGTTCCTAACCATTGTATGATCCTGTCTCCAAAAACATAAAAAAAATCTGAGTGCAAATCCCAGCTCGCTCCAAAGCCACAAAATATGACATTGACATTGAGCAAGTCACTTACCTCTCAGAGCTGTGAGGCTGTTTTAAGAATTAAGTGAAGTGACGTGCTTAATTATAGTGCCAGGCACAGAGCAGGTACTCATGAATAAATATTGGCTTTTGTTATCTTTATAATAACCAGTAGCAAGTATGTAGGAGAGCGAATCCAAGAACCCAGACCCTCTGATTCCTTGGCTAGAAGCTGGTAGATAGGCTGTAAGGCTCCTGGCCAGATGCTGTTCTTGACAGCTGAGTTGTGAGTTATACCTATGTCACCTTTAATGGATATATCTTTTTTTTTAAAAAAAATATATTTTTTATTGATTTTAGAGAGGAAGGGAGAAGGAGATAGAAACATCAATGATGAGAATCATAAATCAGCTGCCTCCTGCACGCCCTCTTCTGGGGATCGAGCCCATATCTTGGGTATGTGCCCTGACTGGGAATCAAATTGTGACCTTCTGGTTCATAGATCAACACTCGACCATTGAGCCACACTGACTGGGCTAGTTTACAGTCTTTAGAGAAAACTTCTACTTCAGCTTCTAGCATTATCAACTCTCATTCACCATCTGCTGATTTGAAAAGAAGTTACAAAGAGTTTAGATAACCCACAACCTTACTTTATTACTGCTTCTCTCTTGATATCCATGTTCTAGCTCATCAAAGCAAATTATTTCTAACTAGAGGCCCAATGCAAGAAATTTGTGCAAGGGTAGGTCCTCGCAGCTCCAGCTGCCTTGGCCCTCGTAGCTGCCTTAGCCCTCGCAGCCCTGGGTCGTCTGGAAGGTCGTGCAGACGGTAATTCCGCTGTTTGGCCATTTGGTCAATTTGCATATTACACTTTCATTATTATAGATTCTAAACAGGCACTGAAAAGAAGTAGTCAGACTGCATGGGTTTGAATCCTGGCTCCATCACTTATTAGCTGTATAAGAGATTACTGAATTCCTCTAAGCCTTAGGTAACTCATCTATAAAGTTGGGGTAATAACAGTACATATTCCAAAAGTTTGCCATGAAGTTTAAATAAAATGATCCACATAAAATGTTTAACACTATGCCTATTCAAAGATATTAGTGTAAGGGAGTGAGGTCACAAGCAAAACAGAAAATGGTGCTGGCCTGGCTAAGGGGCACCATCCAATTCCATACTCCAAAGTCACGTTAGCCAACAGCCATACCTGCTTTTTTTGGAGCTCAGCCTGCATGTCTGAGTTCTGCTTCTGGAGACTGACACAGCTGTCCTTCAGCTCCTGGTTTTCTTTGCGAAGCTCCTTGTTGTTTTGCTCAATCTCTTCCACCTCACCCTATGAAAGAGCATTCTGTAAACTATTTGACCCTTTGTAGCTCAATGGATATTCAAATCCTTGTAGCAGAAAATTCCCATAGCCGGGGACAGAGAAAGTATGAATGACTCCCCCTCACTATAGTGACATCTCTGTACCCCAAATGGGAGCAGCCCCTCAGTATGTAAGGAAGACAGTAAAGATGTGTGTCTGTATACATTGCAGTACTGAGCCTGCCACTACCAAGAAGAAAGAGAAACAAAATTAAGGCCCTATAAAGTGAAAAGGGGGAATGACAGAAGAATGTAGACTCTTCTCGCAAACACTTAGTATTGCTTGTCTCTCTTATGGACTTGGCTTGTTGAGGCCGCCGACAGTGTTTTGATTCTACATCGCATCCCTAGTGCTACCATTGTACTAGATGGACAGGAGGTGTCCTGTTAAGTAAGTGAATCTAATACTCATACGTGACAGGCTCTGTGTAGAAGTGAGAGATCCAAGAAGAATTAGTGCATCTCTCCTCAAAGGAGCGTATCAATTTACTGTGGTGATAAGGTGTGAAGGTGGGAAAAATTAAGGAAATAACTGAATGCCAACTGAGCTACACTAGTTTTAGAGAAAGGAGAAATCCCTTGTTATGATTCTTGCTAACGTTCCTAAGTCATTCTGAAGTGGGTCTGAGTGAGTATTGTACAAATTCTTCTCAATAGTATCTGTTAGACAGTCATTAAAGGCTTTTTGACTCAAATCCCTCCCCATCCTAGAATTCCTACTCTTATTGGCGGGAAGGGATAGAGGTAAGTTATTCACAGACCTGAGTGGTAACCACCAGGATGTCCTCCTCGTTTTCTGGGCGGAACTGGAAAGGGATACTTGCTCCCCGGACCAAACCATCCTGATCCACATAGCAGAACTGGTAATACTCATCATCCTTGGGCAGGTAGTAAGCTGAGAACACAATATTATTTGTAATCCAAAGTCAGGTCTATTCAGAAAACTAAAAATCGGGAAGTCTTTTATCTGCTCCAGAAAGCCAAGATCCATGAAATAAATTAGTCTTGGCTACTGTTTTCAACACCTTTTACCCCCTATTTTTCTCACCTTTGAATTGGACTTCCTGCTGTTTGGTTGATACGTTGTTTGGGTCAGCGGGCAAAGTAACCCACATGAAGGTGTAATACTCACGGGTTGTCTTCCATCCCACCTGCAATGACAAGAGGCTCCATTCAGCACCTGAAAGTGCTCAGGGGGAAATCCTTATTTGGGCTCTGTCTTCTCAAAGTGTGCTTACCTTTTATTTATGTTGAAAAGACAACAGAATGAGTGGACAAAATCCACTTACCATGAATCAAATCTTGTTTTTTGACCTATGACAACCATATATGGTAAAATGTCTGATACAACTAAAAACTGGCACACAGAGTCCAAAAGACCTGTCTTAGAAGGAAACAAAAACTGATAACTCAACATCCAGGACAAGAGTTCCAAAAACTGTATCTCCAAGTCAGACACAGAACTGGGAGTGATGGGAAGAAGTTCGGGGATTGTGAACCTGGATCTTGCTATTGTCTGACAAAGGTTCTTGGAACTTCATCAGAAAGCACTTTTGATCTGCCCTCTCCCTTAGTGTGTCCTTTCCTGTGTCCAGATCAGTCTTATCACTTATACCAACATGGTTATACTACTGCATTTTTTAAAAAATATATTTTTTGAATAATTTGCATGTTGGGGATGGAGGAGGAGGAGGCTTCTTAGATGACAAGGCACCACATAGCCGAGTCCAGGCTATAGAGTTTGCATTTCTTTGGGGTTTTTCTTTTTATTTATTTATTTAAAATATATATTTTATTGATTTTTTACAGAGAGGAAGGGAGAGGGATAGAGAGTTAGAAACATCAATGATACGACTGCGTTTTTAAAAAAAATATATTTTTTGAATAATTTGCATGTTGGGGATGGAGGAGGCGGCGGCTTCTTAGATGACAAGGCACCACATAGCCGAGTCCAGGCTATAGAGTTTGCATTTCTTTGGGGTTTTTCTTTTTATTTATTTATTTAAAATATATATTTTATTGATTTTTTACAGAGAGGAAGGGAGAGGGATAGAGAGTTAGAAACATCAATGAGAGAGAAACATCGATCAGCTGCCTCCTGCACACTCCCCACTGGGGATGTGCCTGCAACCAAGGTACATGCCCTTGACTGGAATCGAACCTGGGACCCTTGAGTCCACAGGCCGACGCTCTATCCACTGAGCCAAACCGGTTAGGGCTGGTGTTTTTCTTAAGGCATGCTTAATGAAGCCTTTTTGGTGCTGAAAAGAATAACAATCTGATATCATAAAGGCCTCTTCTAGGTATTGAATGCAGTAAGTCATAAGATAGAAGGATACTGTGAAATATGCCTCAGAGCAGACAGCTGGCTACGTGGAAAATATTCTCACTAAATGTGAAGAGGAGTACAAGATGGCTCAAATTGTATCTCGAAGATAAGAGGACACCAGGGAATAGAAAGGGAGCCATTGTGTCTCCAAGGGGAGAACACTCGGCAAATGAGAAGCAAAATTACATTTATTGCCATATTTTGACCCTGCCTGAGCCCAGTGGGAAGAAAAAGAACGGAGAATAAATTCCATTTTTCTATATTAAGGAATCGGAGCAGGGTTGAAAAGGCCACACTGAAAGCTCATCAGAACATACTAGGCATGTTTTAGTGTCTCATTAATACACACCCCATCGCTGTAAGCATCTCACAGCCACTGCAGTATGCGGCGGAGCAGGAAGCAGGAATTTTATGGAGTCTTCATTCACTTCCTGTAGTTTCTTAATGTACTGTGACCAAAATATCATCAGGAAAAGCCTAAGAATTATTGCCGCCTTGGAACAAGAAAACAGCTTTTAGCTACCTGCGATTTCTGTCCCTGGCTCCTCCACCTGAGTAGTCCTGGTCCCAGCCTGCTTCTCGTGGCGTGGTATTTCCCCTCTGAAACCTTGGAGGCATTTACATGCTCAGGTAAAGGAGAGTATGGAGCTCAGGACTAGACACTGAAGGTAGGAGAGCTGACTCCCACTCACTTTAAGCTCAATCACCGGTGGTAGCTTTTGCTATGTTGAGAAGATGTAGCATACTGCACATTCAAAAACATTTCATGAATGCCTACTTGGTCCAGGAAGCACTTGGTGATGTGGACTTGAGGGATACGATTAAGAACATAGTGAAAAGCCTGACTGGTGTGGCTCAGTGGTTGAGAGTCGACCTTGAACCAGGAGGTCACGGTTCGATTCCCAGTCCGGGCACATGCCCAGGTTGCAGGCTCGATTCCCAGTGTGGGGTGTGCAGGAGACAGCCGATCAATGATTCTTTCTCATTATTGATGTTTCTATCTCTCTCTCCCTCTCCCTTTCTCTCTGAAATCCGTAAAAATATATTTTAAAAAACACACTGAAATAACACTGGGAGAGCTTTAGAAGTGAGACAAAAAGGACAAAAGTTTAGAGTTGACGTTTAATTCTCTAATTTACCATTTGTTGTTCAAAGGAAGAGAGGAGGCACAGCAGAGGTTTGGATGTCAAACAAATTTTCTTTACCCTTTACTCATTGGGAGATCTTGGGAAAGTTTTATCTGTGCACGAGAGATAATATGACTTATCTCGGGAGCTACTGTGCTATGAGGATTAAGTTAGAACACACACACACAACCTCATCAAAGGCCTAGCACATTGTGTATTCTCAAAAAGTTTGCATTCTTTATTAGTCTTAAAACTTTCAGGCTTCAGGGTAGGTGTTCAAATAAATAGGTTTATGGACATGAACATTAGAGGCCTTTCTTTGGATTGACCATTTCCTTATGGAGGCATGGCAATACCTCTGGAATGCATGAAGCATTCCAAATGCAGATGCATTTCAAAAAATGTCTTTAAACATGTCTTTTTAAAAAGCTTGACTTTCATTTGGTTTATGGGCAAGTCTTCACTGGAAGTTGCTAAGTGCTTGGGGAATACAACCAGTCTAAGCTGAACAGAAACATAACAAAAAAGTTACAGATTACACTATGAACTCTAATAAGTACTTTTTGAATCCTCCTCTTTTTTATTATCTACTAGAGGTGCACAACTTGGGGGGCGGTCCCCTCAGCCCAGCCTGTGCCCTTTAGCAGCCTGGGAGCCCTTGGGGGATGTCCGACTGACGGCTTAGGCCTGCTCCCGGAGCCACAGCCGGACATCCTTAGCACTGCCTCGGAGGATCCCGCCACCACTGCTGTGCTCTCCAGCCATCAGCCTGACTTGTGGCTGAGCGGTGCTCCCCCTGTGGGAGCGCACTGACCACCAGGGGGCAGCTCCTGTGTTGAGTGTCTGCCCCCTGGTGGTCAGTGTGCGTCACAGTGACTGGTTGCCATTTGGTCGATTTGCATATTACCCTTTTATTATATAGGATACCTGCACTGTCCAATATGATAGCCAGTAGCCACACAAGGCTATTTAATTTTGAGTTAGTTAAATGACATTTAATAACCAGTTACTTGGCCACACTAGCCACATTTTATTTATTTATTTTTTTGCTGTTTCTTTTGTCTCTCTTTTTAAAAATTTTTATTGATTTCAGAGAGGAAGGGAAAGGGAGAGAGAGATAGAAACATCAATGATGAGAGAGAATCATTGATCGGCTGCCTCCTGCATGCCCCCTACTGGGGATGGAGCCCGCAACCCGGGCATGTGCCCTTGACTGGAATTGAACCGGGGACCCTTCAGTCTGCAGGCCGGCACTCTATCCACTGAGCCAAACCAGCTAGGGCCACATTAGCCACATTTTAAATGCTCAATAGCCACATGTGGCTAGAGACTACTGGACTGGACAACGAAGGTATAGCTCCATTGTAGTAAGTTCTACCTCACCTGTGGGAAGGATATAACAACTATCATCTTCTTTACAAAATAGGAAACGCTCTGGTGTGTCAGGTTTCTGTGTTAGGACATCTTTTAGTCTAATGTTTCAGCCTCCTGCAGTCTGCGGAGCCGTCATGTGTCCCTCTGGCTGTCTGTCGCTGCCTCGAAACACCAGCTGCCCTGGCTCCAGCCATTAGCTTGGAATTTCAAACAATTAAGGAAAAGTTAGTGGGGGGTGTAAATAAGGACCAGCTCCTTCACGTGTGGTCAAGAATGATGTCCGAGTTCAGGATGAACGACACTGGCAAACAAGCACATGACATACTGAGGTGTCAAAACAAAGGTCACAGACGTTGGAACTCGGCAGTGTGAATGACTTAAATGTGACCTTTACTTCCCGTCTCTGGAAATAGGAAGGTTTGTCATTATGATGTGTGTGTGTGTGTGTGACAGATAAAGACACAGACGAGGGGAGAAGCCGAGATAGAGAGCAAGTTGGCTCTAATAAAGAAGTCCCATTTCTGTACTTGAACTGGCAGGGTGATCAGGCATTAGAAGAGGCCACTGAGGGAGCTCATAAACCTTCTTCCCTGGGAAATCTTTTTTTTTTTTTTAAATATATTTTTATTGATTTTTTACAGAGAGGAAGGGAAAGGGATAGAGAACTAGAAACATCGATGAGAGAGAAACATCGATCAGCTGCCTCCTGCACATCCCCCACTGGGGATGTGCCCGCAACCCAGGTATATGCCCTTAACCGGAATTGAACCCGGGACCCTTCAGTCCGCAGGCCGACGCTCTATCCACTGAGCCAAACCGGTTTCGGCCCCTGGGAAATCTTCACAAAGAAGAAAGACACACTTACGCAGGAACAAACTTAGATGCAGGATGCCAAACCAGGCAACTTCCCAGCATCCTTTCCAGATTTACAATACTCATATTAAAACAAGTTAGACACTCTACTAAGTAAGAAAAGAAAGCTTACTGCAGGGGTCCTCAAACTACGGCCCTCGGGCCACATGCAAATACAAATATTGTATTTGTTCCCGTTTTGTTTTTTTACTTCAAAATAAGATATGTGCAGTGTGCATAGGAATTTGTTCATAGTTTTTTTTTTAAACTATAGTCCGGCCCTCCAACTGTCTGAGGGACAGTGAACTGGCCCCCTGTTTAAAAAGTTTGAGGACCCCTGGAAGTCACAAAAATGATGTAAGGGAACAATCATCCCTGTCAAGTCACAGATGAACACTCCAAAACAGGATAATTTTAAAAAATGTACGTTTGGTCTTTGAAACCACAATATAACCTTATTTTTGCTTGGGTCCCAAGGCAGATGTTGGTGTGTGAAGGGGGAACTGCTGGGGAGCTTAGTTCAGGACTTTAACATTGGCCAGATATAACATGCACACTGCTTGTAACACACAGTAAAGAAGATTCACCTCTAGTTCCCAGTCACTTGGTACTAAAGTAACTACTTACCCTAAAGATTCCAATCCAATCCTTCCGACGGGGAGTGCAGTGCTCGGTGAGGGTGTAGTAGCATGTGACGTCCCCTCCAGGCACATAGAACTTCTCCACGCTGTTAAAGACGACCTGAGAGAAGTGACAGTGGTCCAGCAAGACAGCTGATGTGGGCGGGTCTCCTACTGTCTCCTCCATGGCCGGGTCCTGTTATGAGATATGGGATAGAATACGGCTCAGAGGGAGTTGTCTGAAATGGTGGCGATTTCTGGGCTTTCGTCCAGGGAACATTCTGTTAGAGACAAGTCAGGAAAAGCAAAAAGCAGCCTGACTAGTACTGAAACCATACAACCTGCTTTTGGTTTCACTTCGAGCCATTTTGCATTCATAGCTTCCTTTCTCGTAAGACAGTGGTTCTCAACCTTCCTAATGCCGCGACCCTTTAATACAGTTCCTCATGTTGTGGTGACCCCCAATTTCATTGTTACAAATTGAACATAATTAAAGCACAGTGATTAATCACAAAAATATGTAATTATATATGTGTTTTCCGATGGTCTTAGGCGACCCCTGTGAAAGGGTCGTTCGACCCTCAAAGGGGTCTCGACCCACAGGTTGAGAACCACTCCTGTAAGAATTTTCTGAGAGTATCTTTGACCTCTTCACCACAGGCACCACCATGATCACATGCCCTTGTTCTCTGCTCAGAACTAGTTTGTTCACCTTCTTCTAAATGCCTTAAATAAGTGAGGCGGCCCGGAGGAAAGTAGCTTGAGCTGGGGATTGGAAGATATAGATTCTAGATTTTTGTGTGTTTTTTTTTAGATTCTAGATTTTTTATCTCAATAAGCTTTGTGACTTTCAGAATACCAATTTCTCTAGATTTCAACTTCTCCATTCAATTCCATTTACTATCCTATAATCACCAGGCCCTTCCATATATGAAGGCACTCCTCTAGGAACTGGGGATGGGTGCAGGGAGGAAGATAGGGATGAGAGAAGGAGACTGTTTGACATGTGATGGTAACAAGCATGGGTTCTGCGATCAGAATGGTGGAGTTCAAATTCCAGCTTCACCACCAATGACATGCGTGACCTTGGGCAATTTACTTAATCACTGGGCTCTATGCCTATTTCCTTAATCTGTAAAATGGGGCTAATCACATCTATCTCATTCGGTTTTTCGTAGCATGAACTGAAATAATGTAGTGTCCAGTCCCTAAATCAGTACTTGCCATAGAGTAGGCACTTCACACAAAGTAGACATGTTGAATGACAGAATAAAGTACTTAGCATAGAGTTAGTATAAAAAAAGGGTTTAGCAGATGTTAGTGAATTACTACTGTTGTGGGTGTTTTTTTCCCCTTCTGACACAGTGTTTGCCCTCACAATGAGCCCAACCCAATATGGAAGTTAGATGAGTAAACAAGTGACAGCCAATGGATGATTTAAGTGCAAAATCTCTTAAATTCAAAAGGAGAAGCGATGCGACTGGTTAGGAAAATGAAGGGAAGTTTCGGGGAGTGAGTAGAATCCTAGGCCAGTGATGGCGAACCTATGACACACATGTCAGAGGTGACACGCGAACTCATTTTTTTGGTTGATTTTTCTTTGTTAAATGGCATTTAAATATATAAAATAAATATCAAAAATATAAGTCTTTGTTTTACTATGGTTGCAAATATCAAAAAATTTCTATATGTGACACGGCACCAGAGTTAAGTTAGGGTTTTTCAAAATGCTGACACGCTGAGCTCAAAAGGTTCGCCATAACTGTCCTAGATAACGCCTTCAAGGAAGATTAGGATTTTGATAAATGGCTTTGAGGTGAGGAAATACCAGGCATGAAGCAGCATGCAAAAAAGCAAAGAAACAGAAAAATGCAGCCCATGTTTGGAGCACAGCAAGGGAGTTTGGATCCCTATCTATAAAATGGAGATAATAAAGTTTATTAAATAAACTTTCTAGGTCACAGTACAGATAAAATGTGATCAAGGACGGGAAACAATCTGGGAGGTAAAAGCAGTACATAAAAGAAATATACACAGTCTTTTGAATTGCTGAGACTTGATATTTCTTATCCCTTAAAAGCTACATGTCCTGACTTCTAAATGCCTCCCTGGACTAACATGTAGTGAATCCATGATTTGCAACCCAGAATTTTATCGGGAAATGAAAACAATATTGCATCTCTACACAGCCGATGAAGAAAGAGCTGTGCATGTGCAAACATTATATGATACCTTACAAGTTCAGCTGTTGGAACATGTTGGAAGATTGTATACACGCATACACACATTTTAAAATAACTAAGTACAATAATAAAAAAAAGACAGTCATTCTTCTAGCCCTGCCCCACTTTACTTTTCCTGGTTTTATTTTGAACTCTAAGCAACCAGGCCAGTTTTTTCATAGAAAAGCCACTGAGCTATCTATTCTTGGGATTGAGTTTAATTAAAAAAAAAAAAAAAAAGTATTGGCTTTCTGGTTTGTGACACAGTTTAACCACATCCTCAAACCTCAAACCTCAGATCAGTTTTTCTAAGGAAGAGAGAGATCATGTTGCAGTCTAGGTCAG